TTAAAGGCAGGGAATATGTAACTTGGTCACTATGGAGCATTGGCTCTGGTTCAGTGACTGGTTCAGATGCATGGGTATCCCTTCCTAAAGATTCCCCAATTTTTGCCAGTTCCTCCATTAGAAGGTCTTTAAATGATTGATTGCTACGCGCAGCTATGTCCCTGAGCTCTGACAGATAGGCATCAGTGGCAGATGTGCTAGTTTCTAGACTGTACGCGCTGGCTAGGTCTTGAATATGAAAGAAAACATCTGGGTTCCTAGTACAAGTTTTGTCATAGGGTAAACATTGTTTCTTTAATTCCTTAACAGTGGCTTCATGTTGAAACTCCACAATAATCTGATCACAGTTTGGTAACTTAATGCGCCTGTTAACTGGTCCGAATCCTTCCATAAACCCAAAGACTTCGTTATCAAGGTCTGTATCAGTTAACCCACTGATTAAAACAGCATTTGAAACTTTGACCTTTTCTGTTTTCACAACTTCCATTTTAAAACACTCAAAAGTACCAATAATGCCAAAATGGCAACCCACTGTGACCTCCAGGCACTCTTATGATGTCAGTCAATGGTTAGCTAAGGTAACAACTCTACAATTCTCCTGGCTGGCTCGCCAAGTTTTATGTAACCGGATTACAGGATACAATAAGATAATTAAAAGAAAAAATAAACAAATGGGCCAATAATTAGGTTCGGGGAGAATTGGAGGTTGTTTAAGAATGACTGGAGTCACGGGTATAGCATGAAACGGTTTATATACTAAATTTTAATAATAATGGGAAATATAACGCATAAAGATAACACACAAAAACAGATGAAAACAATCGACAATAGTAAAATGGTCGGTATGAGATTTGATCATATGAGTCACAAGTCAGCCGGCGTCAAGTCAAATCCCCACGCTTGGGGTGAAAGTCAGAGTCCGGTGGTGCGATTTTTTCCTACCACACCGTTGAGATTGTTCACAGAAGAGAGCAGTCTGCTCTTCAGTTACTTGAGATGTCCTGGTTCGTTCAGTGGTTAAGGCTCGCCATCTCCCTCGTCAGGAAGAAATCCAGTTCTCGTTCCAAGTGAGTGATCATAGGAGTCGGGATCAAACCCAAGGAAAAAAAAACCCAGCCTGTAAACAACAGGACTGTTAGCGAGTTGGCATCGACCCTTCTCGTCACATCACAGCATAAAGTCTTACAGACTTAAACAAATGCTTCACTCTATTGGCATAGCCAATCATGTTTGGGTTCACAGTTCAACTAACATAACATCAATTTGATTGTCTATTAAAATAATTCTCAGTAGCTCTGGAAATATAATTACATATGACAACAATTGTTCAGCTCAATAGGCTCAGTTAGATTCTATTACTCTACACTATTCAACAAGAAATACATTCATGACAACAAGGATACATTTAGTTGTGTTTCTATACAGCATTGTGACACCTTGTATATCTGTAACACAATAAATAAATAAATAAATAAATAAATAAATAAAATGTTCTATAACAAAATTCAACAAAATATAAATTCTGGTCCTTTGGTCCACCTTTGTAAAATAATTCCTCCCTAATCAGTTAGCTTTTATTTATTTTTATTTATCTATTTTTTTTATTATTAAATGTTTGGTTAAGGGACGCATTGCTAATTCTATGGCGTTAGCTATAACGCCCCTGAGGACCTTGTACATCTAGGCCGTACCACCATTAACTGGCGGTTTGAGCCGTTAACTCCTGGGAATCCCATATGCCCTACCGCCGTTAACTGGCGGTTTGAGCCGTTAACTCCTATATGCCCTACCACCGTTAACTGGTAGTTTGAGATGTTAACTCCTGGGATCTAACGTCTAGCAGCCCACTGCTGTCACCTCGGTTGCTGTAATTAGCTTTTTGAATTTAATAATTTACTGAATTTAATCTCATTCACTCACCAACGCGCTCCAACGGTTCCCTCCTACAGAGGATTGGTTCACTCTGTCGTCTCCACACAAATCTATAAGAATGGAATTAATTTGATAAGCTATTTAAGTTTCCTTTTTTTTTTAAGTTGCATCGTTAGCTTTTTCTCTTCTTTTTTCTTTACTCACCGCGTTGGTTCCAAGTTCCTAGCTCTTATTAGAAGGAGTCAAGTCCGCCTCTCCCTCTATCTATGCGGCACCCAAATCAGGGTTCTTCACGGCCTCGACCGTTGTTTTTTTTTCTCTCTCTCTCTCTCTCTCTAACCGCTCAGTCTTTGCTTTCTGTATCTGCGTGCTGCACAGCCGTTTGTCTCTCCTCTCGCTCAGCTGCGTCGCACGGTTTTATTTCGCGGAGGCGGGACTTATTTCTCTCAGCCAATGAAATTTCAGATTCCCACCTGGACCAATAGTATACAGCTTTCCTCTTCTGTTTCTGTTAGTGATGTTCAAGATTCTTGTTTTAACCGATGTTTAATATTAAACTCGTTATTTTAGTTATTCACCCTTCCAATAATTCATTATGAAATTATCTATTAGTTAATTAGATATCTATTAATTAGTATTGTTAATTTCCTTAATTTATATTTTATATTTTATCTAAATTGAGGATGGATCATATTAGTAAGCCAATTAGTTAATACCTCATTAAGGTTCTAGCTTCTGGGTTACATCAACAACGACAGCATTTCCCAGCTTGGCAGTTCTCAGCTTAAAAGTAAAAAGTGCAGGTGGCCGGTCCGTACTTCACTTAGCGATGAACGTCAGAGGATCTTGAGAGCTGGCTGAATACTGAACTCAAAATGGCGTTGTTCTGACTTATTAATCTTGATGTTTACGATTCTGGACGAATCACAGCTGACAGATTAAATAAACACCACAGAGACTCTGCTACGCTTCAGAGTGAAGGTTCTGATTGGATTTGCGACCGGAATGTGTCATGATTATTTATATTGTGTATCAGCTGACTAGTGGCTAGAATACGTCATTTCCTTATTAAACATAACATTGTGATTTCACAGATCGGTCACATGGTTATTATTGACTAAAAGTTGTTTTGATTAGCTTTATTAAAGTAGAGTTCTTTGATTAATTAAAAGAAAAGAGTTCATTCTTCGTTCTTCTGTCTTCACTGCTGGAATGTAAACATTAGAAGTGAATGCATGACCTTGAGGCTGTTTCATGCACACTGACACTGTGTCAAACAGAACAGCTGTTTGAGGGGAGAAATGGTTCCTTCATCACGTTACACAGCATTTCGATCACGACCGCAGATCAAGGAAGCGCTATTTCACAAGCAGAAGTTCAGGTACCTGTGGGTGAGGTGGAGAAATGAAAGGAAGTGCTTTTGCAAAAACAAATAAGAGAAAATCCACGGAGTGGCACAGCGCTGCTGAAGCCGTCAGTGTTGTAAATTCTTCAGAGAGATCTGTGGTGGATATAAAAACAATAGTCCAATTGGGATTCAATCCCCAGACTCCCGGGTAAAAGTCACGCGTGCTAACCAGTCACCCAAACAGAGATCTCCCTTGTCCAAGTAGCCAGGGCGCATGACCAATCAAGTCACAGTGACAGGACACACACTGTCACAGACGCATGACATTCTGTCTCAATCTGTCACCCTGCTGATATTCTGCATTCCGTATTCTGCGTTTCAGGCTGTGTGTGTGTGTGTGTGTGTGTGTGTGTGTGTGTGTGTGTGTGTGTGTGTGTGTGTGTGTGCATGTGTGTGCATGTGGGGCGTCTTGTTCTGTGTGACAACGAAGCAGTACAAGTGATAATGCTGCTGGAATTCATAATTTTATCCTTCTCAGCAGCAGCACTGCAGGTGCTCTCCATGTCCATCATGTGCGTAAGCCCGGTCCTTAGTCAACTTAAAGTTGTGCACATTTTTCCGCTAAGTCTTCTTTCATAAATCCCAAAGTTTGCGTGGAAAGTTGCTTACGCAGTTTTCCGACCCCGTTTTGTGCATAAGCAAGCTTGATAAACAACACATTCTCACTCCCACCGCGTCAAAAACAAACGCTTGGTCAGCCACCCACCGCGTCAGAACCCTGACGCCAAAAGTGCCCTTTTTCCCTCACTTATGTGCGAAAAGAGGTTTTTCCTTTTTCTGACTGCAGATCCTAATGCAGCGTAAAACTGACGCGATGGGATGTCCGCAGCCAGGGCACCAAACAAGCTCATTGTTCCTCACCTTAACCTTATCCTCTTGTTATTTAACCTTCCCCTCACCCCTATCCTAACCTTAACCATCTTGCTAGCGAACACATTATTGATGTGTCGGCCGCTCTAAAAGCCGGCTCTATGAAGTGAACGGCGGGAGCCGCCTCGTCAATGGTCGGGTTTGGACCGAGGCAACACGAGGGGGAGGTTTCAACTACCAAGGTGGAGGTTAAAAGCAGAGGGTATTTGTAACCTCCCCCTCGCCAGATGGTATGTTCTAGCGTTCCCCTTGGGCGGCAAATACGAACATTCACAGTCAGACTCTGTCTGTCAGAGTCAGAATGCATGGGAAACAAACGCTTGATCACAGTGAGAGTAACGTTTTAGGTAGCAAGAGGGTTAAGGTTAGGATGAGGGTGAGGGGAAGGTTATAAATAGTGAAACGTTAAGGTTTAGGTGCTGTTAAATGAGCTGGTTTGGTGCCGCATCAGCGGACATCCCATCGCGTCAGTTTTATGCTGCATTGGGATCTGCAGGCAGAAAAGGGGAAAAAAACCTTTTCGCACATAAGTGATGAAAAAGGGCACTTTTGGCGTCAGGGGTCTGACGCGGAGGGTGGCTGACCAAGCGTTTGATTTTGATGCGCTGGGAGTGAGGCCCCAGGGGAGGGACTAGAGGACATAAGTTATAAAATGTTTAAATTATATCATAAAACAGGGTCAGATAGTCCAAGTTAATTATTTTTAAAATTAAAGTTATCCAGCTATGAGTACATTTAAGTTCTCTGCTTTAGATGTCTCCACTCTTAGTAAAACTCTTAGAGGGGACATCACTGGTCCTGATTCAGCTATCTCTAGGTCTCTGATTCTTCTCGTCATTTTGTTTCTCAGACGTTTGGTGAGAAGCTGCTGGGAGCTTTTTCAATCATTATGCCGATCTCGGTGGCCCTTTCCACCTTTGGAGGAATAAACGGTTACCTGTTCACCTCATCCAGGTGAAACAGACACTTGGTGTGTATGACATGACTTCTGATGATGGCTTAGCTCAGCTTCTGATGCTCTGTGTGCTGTTTCTGCAGGTTGTGTTTCTCTGGAGCCAGAGAGGGCCACCTGCCCAGCCTGCTGGCCATGATTCACTTTAAAAACTGCACTCCCATCCCAGCCCTGCTGGTCTGTGTATGTATGGTACCACTTTGGTGTCAGTCTCTGTGCATTTGTCTGTTCGTGTTTCTATATAGTCTTCTTATTTCCTAAGATACTTAAGGATTTTTCTTTGTGAAGCAGTCAGATGACTGGACATGCCACCACCTACACCTCTTTAAAACCCAATTCAGCTTAGAGGTGTCCCCTTAATTATCAAGTAAAAATAGCATGTTGGGTTACAGATTTCCCCCCTTATCCCGTCTATTTTCTATACCAGCAGAGCAGATCTATCTGTCATCTTTAAAGTGGCTTGGCCAAACAGTTCTCTTGATTTTCTGAGGAAAGTTTTCTTTAGACTTTGGTTGAATTTACTGTTACAGTTCTGGGGCCCATGTAGGGGGTAACATTTGGAAAAAGGTGGCTCATGTAAATAGCCCATAATCCCTAAAAATAACTAGAGCTTTTACAAAGTTCTGAAGTGTAATCATAATTTAAGTGGCTAAACTGAAATAAAATCTAAATCTGTCAAAGCATAAAGTCAGTGGTACACTTTTAGCAATTGCTAGCTGTAAATAATAAAAAGGATTGAGTGTTCAAATGAATGCACTTTAGCCCTTTTTACATTTAGGTGTGAACCAATACAGTGAGTATTGGAGAATGAGAGAATCCAGAACGGCCGGTGTACTCTCGGGCCGGTGGGTGTTCTCTGAGCCATAAGGTCCAGGATGAAGTTCAGCTTTGCAAAAATCCTCTCTTCACCCATATCCTCAGCAGAGTCCAGGGAACCCAAGACCAAGCTAGATTTTTCTGCTTATTCAGTCTCTTCTTGTCTCAGTCAGAGCTGTTTGCATCCCAGCAGACCACAGCAAAAGCAACAGTGGTAAAAATTCCAGATGGGCATTACCTCCAAAGGACCTCAGCCTCCTCAGGAAGAGGAGGCTGCTTTGGCCCTTCGTATGCCAAGCAACTGTTCGGTGGGACCAGTTCAGTTTATTGTTGGAAGTGAACACCCAGGTTCTTAAATGTACCCATAACCTTTATTTCTGAGTCCTGGATGTTCACTAGTGTGTGAACAGGTGTGTTCCCTGGACGTCAGTCACCATTTCTCTTACTCTTGTGTTTAAGTGCAGGTGAGGATGGATGAGTGAATGGAGATGCAACACTGCTGCTTAATGTTAAATGTTTATTTACAAAAAGTCTTTTAGTGCGAACCACTTCAAGGCAGACTGCTTTTGCCTTGTTTGGTCGGTGCAGCTCGGTTTAGTGGTCGGGATGCATGAGAACCTTGAGACAGCAGGATAAGCCAGCAAACTTCTTCAGACTGAGGGGGCTTTACCTACACTCCATGTCAACTCAGCTGATGAGGGAGATGTAAGTGCTTTAAAACCAGTGTTTTAAGTGGGCCAGTATGCACCAGTACATAGTACTTGCACTTGTAAATTTTACCCCTCAGAGTAATTAGACTATTTCTAGCATGCGGTGCATACCGGTACTTTGTCTGGACATTTATCAGTCGATCGTGCAAACAGCTCCTGCAACTCATGCTGACAGAAGGGAACACTCAGTATGTTTTTTCATGTTCAGTCATCTGCGAACATTGTAACCCCTTTAGATATGGAAGAAATACAGTCTTGTGAGAACATGACTTTTTTGGACATTGAATTTATGATGCTGAATATTTATTCGGTGAAATTATGTATTTTAAAAAAAAAATTTATTTAAAGTGACGGTGTGTAGTTTCTCTGATGCTAGGGGGCAGCAAATACCTAAATCATTGCAAGCAACCATTCATTTTGTGTTCAAATAGACCTTACCAACAGACGGCCATTAGGGTCAAAATCCCTGTGAGTGCAACCTCCATCAAAATAACAAGAACATCAGACTCCCTTTCATCACTGGCAATGAGTGAAGAGGTAAATGTGTAAAGCAACAATGCTTATTAATGGTGAAAGATTTGTAACCATTTGTTACAAATCAGCTATTGCATTTTGTCCTCACAGACTTCCATAGAGCTCCGGATGTCACGTGACTCTCAGAGAGTAGACGCCATGTTGGCAGGCAACAAAGGTAAACAAAAAGAACGGGATCGGCTTGGATTTTACTCCGTTGAAGTTTACTTCACACTTTAAAACCAAAGAAATTGTTTTATATAGTCAGAAATTAAATAGACTAAACATCTCCGACCCTTACCGTGCCCCTGGGATACTTTTTAAAAACGCCAGAAGCTGTCGGAGCGGACCTGGCCAGGGAACGCCTTGGGATTCCCCCGGAGGAGCTGGCCCAAGTGGCTGGAGAGAGGGAAGTCTGGGCCTCTCGGCTTAGGCTGCTGCCCCCGCGACCTGACTCCGGATAAGCGAATGAAGATGGATGGATGGATGGATGGATGGATGGACAAATACATGTAAGAAGTTAAAATAGAGTGCTGTGCTGTTTGAATGTATAAACTGAACGTCAAGAGAAATCACTAGTCTGATTTTTTTCCGTGAATAAAATAAAAATGTCGGGCAGGAGCGTCTCAGGATCTGTCTGAGATCTGTCTCGGTGAGACAGATAATAGCAATCCAAAGTGCTTGTTATGTGTGATCTGACAATTGATCAACCATTGCTTAAAAATTAAATACAGCTTAGCCGGTTAATTGCTGTGATCATAAAACACGTAAACGGCAGCACGCAGAAATCACGAGGCAACGTTTTACGTGACGTTTACTTGTTGCTATGAGTAATAAGACAGAAAAAGCCACATCAAAATAAGTTTAGGAAGCCCACTAAGAATCGTAATAAAAGCATTTACAATAAACACCATACACAGTTGAGGAAACGTTGGTTTAAGTACCTGATATGAAGTGGTCGCTGCATAAGCGAAAACCTTTACTCTCGGTATCCCACTGTTTCATTTTAGCCTGGAGGCTAGCGCGTTTCATTGCAATGATCCAACGTTGGCGGTGTTCCGGATCTTGGGGAATCCTGTAGACCAGGGGTGGGCAATTATTTTTTCCATGGGGCCACATGAGAAATAGAAAATATTGTGGAGGGCCAGGCCAAAAGGCTGAAGTCAATTATGCATAATATTAATGGTATTTTTTTATAAAAAGCAGTAAATACCATCGTTTTTTCAAGCTGGTAAGAGTAGACTATATGTTATAAATGAGCAACAAGGAAAAAGTGAGGTTGGCTTACAAAAATGTGATTTATTCAAATTTCCCAAGGCAATGGTAAACAAAGTGCGCATTTGGTTTTTGTTAAACATTTGTGACTTATATTAGTTAACAGTTTCAGTCACATTCACTCCAAAACACATTCTGAGTTTCAAATATTGTTGGAAAGAGGTTCTTAGCATTCTACAGACACACAGTATTGTCTGTAAAATAAAATCACTGAACTGTGATCTTGAGAAAGCGGTTTAAAAAAAAGTGTCCCAGTTCACTGCTAGTTGCCCACATTTGTGGTCCAAACACCTTATTTTGTGTTTTTAAGCAATTTTTTTCTTATTCAGTGAGAGAAATCTAGTCTCTGCTGGGCTTTAACGAGTGCATCAAAGTCAGGTTGAATGTCTGAGGTGGAGATGCGAAGCACAGCTGACAAATGATCATCAGTGAGAGGATCTTTACCTGGATTTTGTAAACTTCATCATTGAAAATGTTTGTTCACAAATGTAGGTAGAGCCGAAGAGAACCAACATCTTCTGAGTATGTCTCCTCAGGTTTGGAAAGTCCTCCTTAAGAGAAGAGTAGAAATCCAGCAGAGATCCTGAATCTCTGCTTTCAAGTCCCAAACCCTCTTCAGCACTTTCCCCAGGCTGAGCCATCTGACAGCTGTGTGGAGTCCTCCAGAAGAGCCACAAACTGTCTGTGATTCATTGCCCGTGCCCTGATGAAGTTTATTATTTTAGTAACAACATCAGTAACATGGTTGATTTTTAGCACTGACTTGCACAACACATGTTGGTGTATAATTCAATGCAAAAACACCAATTTTTGATCTGCATCGATTTCTGTCACTTTATCTTGCATTCGTTTCAAAAGTCCGACATTTTTCCCTGTAAGATTTGGACAACCGTCTGTTGTGACACCTGACAGTCTCTCCCATTTCAATCCCAGAGTGTCCATGCACGCATTTACCTCTGTAAAAAGATCACTCCCTGTCGTTGTCCCTTTCATCGACCGCATTGCTGCCCGCTCCTCTGTGAGCTCCGTTATCCCCCGGACAAATACGAGCAGCTGGGCTGTGTCCCGGACATCACAGCTCTCGTCTAATGAGAAAAAGTCAAAACTTGCCACTTCACGTTGCAGCTGAAGCTCCAGGTTCCCCACAATGTCCTCGATCCTCCTGGTCACGTTCGCCTGGACAGCGGGATTTGCTCAAATGCACCTTTTTTTCAGGGAATATTAGTGCGGCAGAGTCCACCATGCACTCTTTGACAAACTCTCCCTCCGAAAACGGCTTGCTGTTTTTAGCTGTTTTGTGGGATATCACAAAGCTGGTCCTGGTTGCTGCATCCCTGGATGTGTGAAGCTTAGTAAAACAGCCTTGCTGCTTTTGCAACTTTGCTAGCAAAGCTTCGGATGTCCGTGCCCTCTCAGCATCAGACAAGTTCTTGTATTTTTCCGAGTGTTTCTTGTCGTAATGCCGACTCAAATTGTAGTCCTTAAACACGGCAATCTCCTCCCCGCAAACCAAACACACTGCTTTACCTCCGACTTCAGTAAAAAAAACACTTAGCAGTCCAATTTTTGTTGAAAATCCTGCATTCGGCATCTTTCTTTTTTTTTTTTTTTTTGCATGAGCGGACATTTCTCGGGCTACAATCACCATGTCAACCGCGGGCACTTGTTGCTATACGTATTGCGTCATTGTGCACGTAAAAAACAACTTCAAAATAAAAGCAATGCAGCCTTAGCCCATGCATGAGGTAAAATGAGAAAATACATTTATTTTGTAATTTCCAATTAACCTTACGCGGGCCGGTCAAAGTCAACCAAAGGGCCGTATGTGGCCCGCGGGCCGTAAAATGCCCAGGTCTGCTGTAGACGGCTCATTCCTTATGTCGTCCGCATCTGTTCTGCATCCTGGGGCACAACAGGAATCTACCATATTTCCCGTTTGATTGAGTTTTCTGACAGTAACAAACAGCCCAGCTGCAGGCTTCTGCCTGCCAAGATGGCGCCGTTTCGATTTGCATGCCGGGAGAAGTGGCGTCAACTCCCGGAGCTCTATAGAAAAACATGGCATCCAATATGGCGTTGCCCAGAGACTAAAGCTTAATTTATACTTCTCCATCAGCTCCAGGAGAGGGAGACACGCACGGATGGAAACAATTTTTCCTCATACTTCTCCGTCTCCTGGGGAGTGTTGCAAAGCAATTCCCCACCAGGACAACAGAGGGCGTAACGCTGTATTCTGTCATGTATCCGGTCCAAGATAGTGGGTTTATATTGTGTGTTCTTTTTGTATTTAAGTGACTTTTTAGCGTGGACAAATTTGTCCCGAATAAAACAAACGGGTAAAACGCTTGCTGCGTATCTTTTCACTCCCCCAGTCATTGGGAATAAAACGTTCATATATTTAGAGTTTTTCCACGAGGTATCCTTCAAGCTTCTCCGTGTCTGCCACTAGATATCCTCGGCTCTCTTTATGTTTTTGAAGGTGCAATGGCAGCGCTGTATACGACAGTGGCGTCCTGACCAAAGGACGGATGTTTAGAAAAGAGAGCTCGACTCCTCAGTCACCCGATGGCGCCACTGCTCGGCAGCCTCGCCTCTGTCAGTGCACCCCAGGGCAGCTGTGGCCACATTGTAGCTCATCACCACCAGTGTGTGAATGTGGGTGTGAAAGGGTGAATGACTGATTGTGTTGGAAAGCGCCTTGGGGGGTTCCAGGACTCTAGAAGGCACTATGTCAAACACAGGCCATTTACCATTTACCATCCTCTGTCCTGGCGAGGGCTCTCCAGCAGGCTCACAAGGACGGATAATGGTGCTGCGTGCGTCCGTCCCGACACAGATGGAGAAGTATAGATTGGGCTTTAGACCCACTCCATGTATTTTAGAACAGATTTCTATGGTTATGTGACGAAACTTTTGATGGATATTTTGTCACTTTAAAATATACCTGCAACAGTTTCATCAATAAAATTTCAGCTGCAGAATTTCTACGTAAAAATTTCGGCAACAAAACTTCAAAGACAGAAAATCAACAGCAAAAATTCAACAACAAATGAGGTCATGTTGATGCTCACTGGTGTCATGTGATCAGAGAAGTGTAATTTGATTGGCTAAAAGCCACTCAGCTTGATTGAGTGACGATTACTTTGGCTTGAGTCATCAGGATGCCACCTCATTTGTTGCTACATTTTTGCAGCTTTGGAGTTTTTTGTTGATGACATTTTTACGTTTATATTCTTTTGTTGAATATTTGAATGTATTTGGTTGTCTCTGTGTTTTACAGTGTACTGCCACCCTTTTTATATTGTGCATTGGAGAAACACACAACCTGATCAACTATGTCTCCTTCATCAACTATCTGTCTTATGGTGTCACCATTACTGGACTGCTCTACTATCGCAGGAGAAAACCCAACATTTACCGGCCAATCAAGGTCAAACAACAGATGGAAAATATCTATGTCCAAAAAGATCTTTCAGGTTATCTGTGATTTATTGCTTTTGTCTTCCTCTATCTCAGGTGAACCTCCTGGTTCCTGTCTCTTACCTGCTGTTCTGGGCCTTGCTCTTGGGATTCAGTCTTTACTCGGAGCCGGTAGTTTGTGGTGTTGGTCTAGTGATCATGCTCACTGGTGTACCCGTCTACTTTCTAGGTGTTTATTGGAAAGAAAAACCAAAGTGTATTTATGATTTCATAGGTGAGCTTCAAGAAACGATGAACTATTTTGGATATTACTCTGATGTGACTAATGTGAGACCTCTGCCTTTTATTTCCAGCATGTGCTACATCTGTGGGCCAGAAGCTGTGTTATGTTGTCTTCCCCCAGATTGACCCAACTGAGATTGATCATCCTTCAGAATGGACTGACCAGTCATCAGGCAGGAGCAGTTTCTTTGCCAACTTGTAAAACTCTTTTCTGTATGTGTGAAAATATGTGTTCTGATCTTTTGTTCCATTGTTACTTTGTCATTATGCAAGTTCAGGCTTTCTGTCCTGCCAGAGAAGCCTCCTGTGTGATGTTTAAACCATGGAAAGAGTCATTTTGCCTTACAGTCAAGTAGAAGTACCTAATAGAAGTACACTCTATGAAAAGGATTTTTATTCCCCTTTGGGGCGTGTCTGTTCCTCCTTTGTAAAATTACTGAACTGTGACTGACAGTAATTACTCCTTTTACCGCAGCATTTTTGTGTCCTTAATAACAAATAGTTTACATATGGAGCTAATGTGTTTTGGAAAATTAACAAATGTTTGAGGCAGCCTTTCTACTGGGTTTTTCATCATCTGCCCCACTGTTGGATCTTTTTAGCAACTCTTTATGTCGACCTGGTAAATGTCAAATGGGGTTCCTCATGTAGAGAATAATCTTGGATCAAACCACCAACCATCCAGTCAGCAGACAATATACCTACCCACTGATCCACAGTCACCTCTTTAGTCTGTTTCTATGTTATTGATAGCTTGACAGCGGGTCTAGCCCTGCAGCATATATAACTGTACTGATCCTGGTTTAACCGACTTTAGTACGCAACGTGACTTTAACTGCCCAGAGATAGTGTAGAAGCCTTTTCCTACAAAGTGCTTGTTTAAAAACTTTCTTTCCCATCTCCTGAGACATCCCACTTGTGTTTGTGACCAAGTCCTCGCATAAACAGCTCTGCTTCTTGCCTTTCCCATAAAGTAGTAGAGCTCCCGTGAAAGCTCACACACATAAACTCATTATGAAAAGCACAAAAATCCAGAAAGAAACACAAAAAAAGTCAAATTAAATGAGTTTCATTTTTTTCCAGAAATACCAACAGTCTCAGGGAGAGTTTCAACTGAGTTGAAGAGGCTATGAAACAGATGTTTTTGTATCAGATGTTCTACATGTTGTCATATTTTGATTTTGGCTTTTTCAGGACTGACAATATGTGTTGAGTAAATTTAAGTGCTAGCCTATTTCCTTACTGGAGCAGACTTCTGCATGTCTTTTCCACAAGTTTTAGTAAAAATGCCAGCTGTTGGGTCACTGCACAATTTTCAGCTACATGCAGCAGAAATAGCTGCAGTGTTATTGTCATTAATGAATATATAAATGAGTCATTCACCAGTGCATCACATCTGGCATACATGTCATTAAAACAGAGACGTGTTTTTTACTGACAGTTTATAAATGTGTCATCCAGAACTAGTAAATAATCCTGTAGTTAAAGATAGATTAGGTGTCAGTCAAAACATGATGATGATAACCGGTACAGTATGTTAAGGTAGTCATGATTGCTCATGTAAAAAAGATGAGAAATAACTAACTTATTAAAGAAAGAATACTTTATACTGTTTGGAAGGCATGACAGAAATTATACAAAAGGATGAATATAAAAGTTGCTATTAAAAATGTTAAAAATATGTGTCTTATTAACAAATTTGCAAGATCTCCATTTAGTTTGCATTCATTTGAAAAGCACCTTAGCTGTCCTTTCCTTGCTGCCTTCATTCATTGCTGTAAATAAAACAAATAGTATAAAAATGCTGTACTGACATGATTGATGTAAAATATTTATACCTACCTGCTCAGATGGGTTTGATAGTTGCATCCTAGATATAGTTATTATTATTGTTATTAAGGGACCTGCTGCTGCAGCAAGCAGGGCCCTTGTTGTTATGCACCTGGAGGGGGTTTGACATTAATCGCCTTTATTCTTCTTCATCAATGCAGCTCGAACGGCTTCGTGCACCCCCACAAATTATATATCAAATCAAGTAGCTCAACCGTGGGAGGTGTGCTATTACTTTTCTAAGCGATCTGATTTACCACGACAAAATAATTAGCAAAAAACTTCTAAACTGTAATCCTTTTAGGGCAGATTGAACTATCCTTTCAAATTTTGAGTGTGTGGCATTTTTTACATTTGCATAAAAACTGTCTTGTGCCAGGTGACAGGTCCCTTTTTTAAATTAATTCAGGTATTTTCTAGTTATTATTAGTTCTAGTAGTATTGTTGTAGTAATAATAGTAGTAGTTGTAGTTGTTGTAGTTGTTCAATCAATCAATCTTTCCATCAGTCAACTTTATTTGTAAAGTGCCTTTGCATTGCTCAAGGACCAAACCAACAACAAAAAGTGACACAACATGACATAAAAAAGTAAAAGCATTTAAAAGATCAGACAAAAACTTGTAGTTGAAATCTGGGTGGGAACACACAAGAATTCAACAACCCCCCATTAGTGAGACTCCTCGTCAGTAAAATCCATTGAATAGAAGTGTGTTTTCAGACAGCTCTTAAAGTTGGGGGCCTGCTTGATGACTACAGGCAGCTCATTCCAGAGTTCGGTCAGTATTGAGAGGGCATGACCCCCTCGTGGGTCTGTACTTGGGTATGGCACAGTCCCTGCTCCTCCGACCAAAAGGGCCTTGATGGAATGTAAAGATGAATCAGATCTGATATATAACGTAGAGCCGACTCATTTAAACATTTAAAAACAAACACCAGAACTTTAAATGAAATTCTAAAAGAGACCGGAAGCCAGTGTAGGGATGCTAAGATAGATGTGATGTGCTCAGACCTCCTGGTACCGGTCAATAACCTGGCCGCCTCATTCTGCAACATCTGAAGTTTCGCTATGGAGGCTTGCTTGATGCCCGAGTAAAGAGAGTTGCAGTAGTCCAGCCTGGTGGTAATGAAGGCGTGGATGACAGTTTTTAAACGTTTGTATGAAAGAAATGGCTTAATTCTAGCTATTCCCCTGAGATGGAAGCAAGTAGCAGGATGTGATTGTTCTGGCTTTCCAGTCTGATCTCCACATCCAACTTCACCTCAAGATTGGTAAACACCACATTCTCAAAAGGTTACTAAAAATATAATGTCAATAATAACATTAAGAGAGCAATGGGCGAGCTATGTCGTAATGACACAAATATGACATGGCCGGAATTGACGTAGCAGGGGTCCACCATTTTGGATGGGTCTCCACTCGCCCTCAGTGCATTTATTTCTATTGAGGAAGGTATTTACCCAACTTGAAAAAAACATTTTACTATGCTTGTTCACAAAATCAGACATATGATATGGCTTGATAATTAAAATATAAATTTAATAAAAGAAATAAATAAAATTAATTTTAAAATTCCAACAGGTAGGCTAGAAAAGCCTCAGAAAATGTCCTACATGATCTGTTTTCAACAGTGCACCAGTTGTTGCGTAGCCTGCACAAAAAAACGGTCATAATTGCCCACCCTGCGTGGACTCCATTTGCTACAGGCATCTACCCAATATGGTGGCGAAGCTTTTACATCTCCAGTGCACTGCTCACTGACGTCTGCGGGTTTGCACGTGCACCAACATCCCCGGTGTGCCAAATCACAGAAGCAGAGAGACAATGTATATAGAGCTAGGATTGGGACATTATTCAGCGTAACTTGTACCAAGTTTTGTAACTTCGAACGTTTCATCACATGTAACTTTGGATTCGTAACTTGTAACTTTAGTTTTCTAACTTGTAATTCCAGTGTTAGGAATCTTTTTTTCTCAATTCTAGCGTCAGTGGGAGGAACTTGGGTGGAACCAATGAGAGCATGAGTCTTAGCTACCAATCACGTTTCTCGAATTCCTGTCCAATCATTGGGAGAGGAGGGCAGGGTTCTGTCAGAGCTGTAAAGAGTTACGACCATCGACATATATACGACACTCCAATAGACTCCTATGGAAAGAATGGAATGTGGGAGTCACGTGGTTCATGTAGCTTCGAATAGTTCCAAACAGCCCCGCTGCTGCATTGACCGTAGTTCATTTTCGGTGTTTCTGAAGAATTTCTACAGTAAGTTGATGAAATGTCATCATTTTGTTGCATTGTGAAGCGTTAGCTAACCGCTTCGTACCAAAATAAGCCGATGATGATATTTTATGTTGCCAGTTTTAGCTAGATAACCTTTAATGAGCTAACTGTGTGCAGTTTGTTGGTTGTGAGCAGGAGGACGAGCTGTAGACGGGTTCATTTCAGTTTGTTTGATTCTACGTTTTAAAAACATTCCCCACAGTTTGAAATAGGTTATAAACTTTTTACATTATTAGTTTAATTTGGGATTTTTTGTACAATACGTTGCTGGTTGCTGTATCAACACGAACATGCATCAGAAATGGAAGCACAAATGGAGAGACCAATAATAAAGAAAATGTGATTGTGAAGACAAGTAATTATTTAATATTTTTCAGTTAATAACACCGACTGCAACAAACTGCTGAAGCATGAGACAAACAGGATTACGAACGTAAGAAGATATGTTGTTCTGTTTTGTGGACTCAAGTAATAAGAATAAAATTACGATATTTCAAGAATAGTAGTCGAACAATAACTTTAAAAAATGAGACATTTTCCATAAAACTGCTCATTTCCACTTGCTTTATAATATTAGCATTTGCAATTTTGTTATTAAGGAATGACAAGAAATAAGAATTAACAATAACATAATCATCAATAAAAAGAGTAACCATTAAAGGTTAAACTGTGTTGTGTGTCCATCTTCATGTTTTCATAGTGGCTGAGCGGAGAGCTGACCAGGAACAACGGTGGTGGCAAAACCCAGTTGGGTCTGTGATGGAGTGATGCACGCCTGGAGTGATTGCCATCTCATCCACAGTAAGCACACACTCTCTTTCCATCTCTGCCAGATTTTTAACCTTCAAACTGAGCATGTCACACACCTCTCCTAACACACCTGGTTCCAGTTATTGGGCTGGATTTGTCTTTGCAGGGTTCTAACATCAGGCAGAGGGATACTCATGTCCTGAAGAAACCTGTAGCCTGTTGAACCCACTGAAAAACAGAGCTGTACGGCCTTTTTGATCTATTTACTCCATTTAATGCCTCTTGTGCTTGTCATGTCTTTTTCACTTTCTGTTTCCTCCCTTAGGTTTTCCAGCTGGGTTCCCTGGTTGCATAGCCTGTTCCTTTCTCCTCCTGGCCCTGACGCCGCCTCCTCATGGCTTCCTGGGATGCCCCCCTCACTTTCCCTCATCTCATTTGCCTCACTACTGCTGCTGCTTTCCTCATTCTCTGAAATTATAATGGCACTGTTAGAATAAAGAATCAGTTAAAAATAAAATAATTTCAAATGTCTAATATTTCAAAAGATTTGTACCACAGTTTACTTGAGTACAATATGTGTGGTCACTGGTCAGTGGACCAACATGCAGTGGTTCTGCTGTACTTCTCACTACGGGGTCCTTCCTCCTCCTTGGTTCAGGGCAATGAACAAACACAGCATCAGCCCTGAGTCTCACCTTGCCTAGTCTTAGTAAACTGTCCCTCCTCAAAATGTGCCTGTAGAGTGGTGTATTACTGTAGTTTATTTCCTGCCACATTTAACAGTTTAATTGCAGCCTTGTGTAGTTGAGAGCAGAACATGTAGAGCCTTGATAGGAAACGTTTGAGAGTGCACATTAAACTCACTGCACACAGCTTTTTGTTATTGTGATCGCTGGTCATGGTGAGGTTGCTCCTGCTGACTTGAGCCAACCATTTTCTTCTTCTCTCTGCATCTTTGGGGAAGCCGTAGTTCTGATTCCTCCCTCAGACTGATTGCAATATGCAGCGCAGCCAACCATGTAAGATATTCAACCTATAAAGGGATTATTAAAATACTATTTTTGTACATATAGAAACATTGAACTAAACCAAAAATAAAGTTATTCAAAAGGGTTTCATTAGGTCTTGAGTACATTGCTCAAATTTATTGATACAGCTTATTTGTGCATATGTAATGACTAAACAATGTTGGTAAAATGCTTTATTAAAAATGCTATTATACATGTTGTACAAGTTTGGTGTTCATTTTTTCACAAATAACACACTTTATTGTGATGAACCATACAGCTGAAAATTTCTTTTAAATTAGTTGCTGTAGAAGCCAGATAAACTGGGTTATAGATGCATGTACTGTCTTCACATAAAAATATAAAGTAATGATTGTAAAATGTATTCTACTGAACATAATAGATCATCATTCAAAGTATAAACAGATACATATTTTCTTCAAGGTAAGCTGGAGCAGAGTTCTAGCTTTCAATAAACACTTTAAAATGGATATTACAACTCGAGTTTATGGTTCTTGTAGAACTTAAAGTTATTAAATATGCTTATAGGGCAGTGTGTTGCATTACTACATCAAATTTATTGCTATAATATAGTAATGTATGTGGTCTAAATGTGTTCTACAGTGTATTAGGACTGTTGTGTTCAAGAACAGTCACGGGTGTTTGTCTTCCTACAAGTGCTCGTAAAAATATAAATAGGCTACTTTGTGAAGGAGTTAGGACATAATATAATATAATATATAATATTATTCAATAATTACCACAAATTGCCAGGGGAAATGTGATTATATTAAATTTTTGTGATTTGTCCCACCATACGCCGTTCAAACTGACTTACGGCACTGTGGGATGTTTGGAACTGAGAGCTCCATGAACCACGTGACCGCGAGTCGGCGAGTTCAAAGACTGTTGTAACTCTCTCTTTCTACAGCTCTGACAGTATGGAACTAGGATTGGGACAATATTCATCGTAACTTGTACCAAGTTTTGTAACTTCGAACATGTTTCATCACATGTAACTTTGGATTCGTAACTTGTAACTTTAGTTTTCTAACTTGTAATTCTCAATTCGTACTTGTATTTCTTGTTTTGTAACAGGAACGTTGTATTTTGTACATGTATTTTTTATTTTGTAAAATCAAACTTTTATTTTGTACATTACTACTCATTTTGTAACATCAAGCATTCATTCAGAAACATGAAACTTTCGTTTTGTAACTAGCAGACTTCCAAATTTAAAAAATCAAGGTACAAATTTGAAATCAAAACTCTCAAAACACACATTTCATTCTACAGGTACAAACCTCAAATCTACAGTGTTACGAATCTTTTTGTCTCGATTCTAGCGTCAGTGGGAGGAACTTGGGTGGAACCAATGGGAGCACGAGTCTTAGCTACCAATCACGTTTCTCGAATTCCTGTCCAATCATTGGGAGAGGAGGGCAGGGTTCTGTCAGAGCTGTAGAGAGTTACGACACTCCAATAGACTCCTATGGAATGGGGAAGTCACATGGTTCACGTAGTTTCGAATAGTTTCAAACAGGCCCCGCTGCTGCATTGGCTGCAGTTCATTTTCGGTGTTTTGGAAGGATTTTCTCTGGTAAGTTGATGAAATATCATCATTTTGTTGCATTGTGAAGCGTTAGCTAACCGCTTCGTACCAAAATAAGCCAACTACAATATTTTATGTACCCAGTTTTAGCTAGATAACCTTTAATGAGCTAACTGTGTGCAGCTGTGTTTATGTAATGGATGCTGAGTCGCGTCCTTCAGTCTTTGAAACGAGGACAAAAACAAACCCGCAAAATAGCTAAAATTTGCTTATCGATACAGTATCAGCTACGCAGTAAATGAACACGATGGAAGCCCATTAGCTGCGGGTTATAGCTCAGTAAGAACAGGTATTTTGTTACAGTTGTCTGAAAGTTTATTTGCTTCAGGCGTGTCGGGGGTTGTGAGCAGGAGGGTTTAGACAAGCTTGACGAGCTGCAGACGGGTTTATTTCAGTTTGTTTGATTCTACGTTTTAAAAATATTCCCCACAGTTTGAAATAGGTTATAAACTTTTTACATTATTAGTTTTATTTGGGAATATTTGTACAATACGTTGCTGGTTGCTGTATCAACACGAACATGCACCAGAAATGGAAGCACAAATGGAGATACCAATAATAAAGAAAATGTGATTGTGAAGACAAGTAATTATTTAATATTTTTCAGTTAATAACACCGACTGCAACAAACTGCTGAAGCATGAGACAAACAGGATTACGAACGTAAGAAGATATGTTGTTCTGTTTTGTGGACTCAAGTAATAAGAATAGAATTAAGATAATTCAAGAACAGTAGTCGAACAATAACTTTAAAAAATGAGACATTTTCCATAAAACTGCTCATTTCCACTTGCTTTATAATATTAGCATTTGCAATTTTGTTATTAAGGAATGACAAGAAATAAGAATTTATAACACAACTATCAATAAATAAATGTCAAAGAGTTACTAAAACAAAAATCTTATGTAACCATTAAAGGTTAAACTGTGTTGTGTGTCCATGTTCATGTTTTCATAGTGGCTGAGCGGAGAGCTGACCAGGAACAACGGTGGTGGCAAAACCCAGTTGGGTCTGTGATGGAGTGATGCACGCCTGGAGTGATTGCCATCTCATCCACAGTAAGCACACACTCTCTTTCCATCTCTGTCAGATTTTTAACCTTCGAGCATGTCAGAAACCTCTCCTAACACACCTGGTTCCAGTTTAACGGGCTGCATTTGTCTTTGCAGGGTTCTAACATCAGGCAGAGGGATACTCGTGTCCTGAAGAAACCTGTAGCCTGTTGAACCCACTGAAAAACAGAGCTGTACGGCCTTTTTGATTGTCTGTTTACTCCATTTAATGCCTCTTGTGTTTTTCATGCCTTTTTGACTTTCTGTTTCCTCCCTTAGGTTTTCCAGCTGGGTTCCCTGGTTGCATAGCCTGTTCCTTTCTCCTCCTGGCCCTGACGCCGGCTCCTCATGGCTTCCTGGGATGCCCCCCTCACTTTCCCTCATCTCATTTGCCTCACTACTGCTGCTGCTTTCCTCATTCTCTGAAATTATAATGGCACTGTTAGAATAAAGAATCAGTTAAAAATAAAATAATTTCAAATGTCTAATATTTCAAAAGATTTGTACCACAGTTTACTTGAGTACAATATGTGTGGTCACTGGTCAGTGGACCAACATGCAGTGGTTCTGCTGTACTTCTCACTACGGGGTCCTTCCTCCTCCTTGGTTCAGGGCAATGAACAAACACAGCATCAGCCCTGAGTCTCACCTTGCCTAGTCTTAGTAAACTGTCCCTCCTCAAAATGTGCCTGTAGAGTGGTGTATTACTGTAGTTTATTTCCTGCCACATTAACAGTTTAATTGCAGCCTTGTGCAGTTGAGAGCAGAACATGTAGAGCCTTGATAGGAAACGTTTGAGAGTGCACATTAAACTCACTGCACACAGCTTTTTGTTATTGTGATCTCTGGTCATGGTGAGGTTGCTCCTGCTGACTTGAGCCAACCATTTTCTTCCTCTCTCTGCATCTTTGGGTAAGCCATAATTCTGATTCCTCCCTCAGACCATTTGCTATATGCAGCGCAGCCAACCATGTAAGATAATCAACCTATAAAGGGATTATTAAAATACTATTTTTGTACATATAGAAATATTGAACTAAACCAAATTATAGAGATGTAAAATTACATTTCAAAATTTTATCCAACCCTAAAATTAGTAATTTCAAATTTTAACCCACGGACACATTTTGTTTGAATAATAATCAAAATAAAGTTATTCAAAAGGGTTTCATTAGGTCTTGAGTACATTGCTCAAATTTATTGATTCAGCTTATTTGTGCATATGTAATGACTAAACAATGTTGGTAAAATGCTTTATTAAAAATGCTATTATACATGTTGTACAAGTTTGGTGTTCATTTTTTCACAAATAACACACTTTATTGTGATGAACCATACAGCTGAAAATTTATTTTAAATTAGTTGCTATAGAAGCCCGATAAACTGGGTTATAGATGCATGTACTGTCTTCACATAAAAGTATAAAGTAGTGATTGTAAAATGTATTCTACTGAACATAATAGATCATCATTCAAAGCATAAACAGCTACATATTTTCTTCAAGGTAAGCTGGAGCAGAATTCTAGCTTTCAATAAACACTTTAAAATGGATATTACAACTCAAGTTTAGGGCTTCTTGTAGGACTTAAAGTTATTAAATATGCTTATATTAGAGCAGTGTGTTGCATTACTACATCAAATTCATTGCTATAATATATTATAGTAATGTATGTGGTCTAAATGTGTTCTACAGTGTGTTAGGACTGTCGTGGTCCTGTAATGTAGAACAGTCACGGGTGTTTGTCCTCCTACAATTGCTCGGAAAAAAATAAATAGGCTACTTTGTGGAGGAATTAGGACATAATATATAATATAATATATAATATTATTCAATAATTACCACAAATCGCCAAGGGAAATGTGATTATATTAATTTTTTGTGATTAGTCCCACCATACGCCGTTCAAACTGACTTACGGCGCTGTGGAATGTTTGGGATTTCCGTGAACCACGTGAACGCGAGTCGGCGAGTTCAAGGAGTGTCGTAACTCTCTTTCTACAGCTCTGACAGAACCCTGCCCTCCTCTCCCAATGATTGGACAGGAATTCGAGAAATGTGATTGGTAGCTAAGACTCGTGATCTCATTGGTTCCACCCAAGTTCCTCCCACTGACGCTAGAATCGAGACAAAAAGATCTGCTGTAGATTAGAGGTTTGTACCTGTAGAATGAAATGTGTGTTTTGAGAGTTTTGATTTCAAACTTGTACCTTGATTTTTTAAATTTGGAAGTCTGCCAGTTACAAAACGAAAGTTTCATGTTTCTGAATGAATGTTTGATGTTACAAAATGAGTAGTAAATGTACAAAATAAAAGTTTGATTTTACAAAATAAAAAATACATGTACAAAATACAACGTTCCTGTTACAAAACAAGAAATACAAGTACGAATTGAGAATTACAAGTTAGAAAACTAAAGTTACAAGTTACGAATCCAAAGTTACAAGTTACGAATCCAAAGTTACATGTGATGAAACTTGTTCGAAGTTACAAAACTTGGTACAAGTTACGCTGAATATTGTCCCAATCCTAGTTCCATAAGCCTGTACATTTCTGTTGGAGTTCTGGATGTGTTGTGACGGCTGTTGTTCCACGGTCAGGTTTAGGTTGCGTTTCTGCTGTGACGATACATTCCTGTACAGTTGTGATCAGAATAAATGTATAAATTAAACCTCGTTTTGCCTTTTTAATGCTTCATGTACGTCAATGTGCATTTTGTCTTGGGGCTGACTGGAGAACTGTAAAGGACTTCCTGCTACAAAAGCACATGTTAAAGGGGACGTGTTACGACTATATTTTTAAAGTTAGAACAATTTTGTGGTCTATACAAAACTGGGAAATGAAGATTTTTGCACAAAACCCCTTTGAGCAATCTCACCAGCTCTCTGACATTTTCAGTACCTTTCAGAATGAGTCGTTTCATTGGGGCTCGTTAAAGTTGCTCCTGGACACACCCACCCATCCCCTGATTGGCTCAGCTTTTATCACAGTAAAAACTGAGAATTACTGATCACATTTCTGCTTTGTCTGCCAACAGCGTTATAGTTAAATCACTGTGTCACATCCGAATGATTCAAATCCAGAAAAGACTTTGGGTGTGTCCTATATGCACCCATATATTTATTCACTTACAGAATAAAGCTTCTTGAGATAAAACATCCTCCTACTAAAGCTAGTAGTTGAGATAATTGAGAACAAAATGAAAACAATGTATAAATATAAACAAAAACTTGTCAAACCAAGTGTCATGTTAAGGGGAAAGTGTCTGACCCACCACATGTAGAATCATTGAGTCTGGGTATGGTAAAAAAAAAAAAGGTTTATTTATAAAACGTGAACTAAAAGCGCAGCAGGAAAATCCAGCTGGGGCTCCGGGGGGTATCTAGAGACGGGGGAAGAGTTAGCGGATGTTGACGATCCGGACTAATGAGGTACAGGTCGAGAATTACAGTTTGTGATCCAGGGGAAGGGAGGGAGGCTTGGTCTGGGGGGTAGTCCGTGAGGAGTGGGAGACAGAGACACACTTGCTGGTTCACAGGAGACTGGGTTTCCAGGTACCTGGAGGACTGGAGGAGCTGAGCACAGAATAGGGAGCAGGATCCGGTAAGGTGAGGTCAGTATGGAGTGGACAGCCAGGGAGCGGCTGGTAGAGAGCGGGACTGGTCCGGTAGGTTGCAGCCAGAGGTGGAAAGAGTACTAAAATTTCCTACTTAAGTACGAGTACCAATACTTTGATAATTTTTTACTCAATTACAAGTAAAAGTACTTGCCTAAATTTTTACTCAAGTAAAAGTAAAAAGTATCGTAAACAAAATGTACTCAAAGTAAAAGTTACTTAGTTACATTTTTGTCAGCGTAAGGATGGCTACATCTAAGTAGTGCTAAATCACAACGCCAGTTCACAATTCACTCGTGTGTGCGCGCACACACACACACACACACTCAAACACGCACAGCTTGAAGGAGGGATTTCTATCCAATCAGTGAGAACAGGACGTGCACATTGATTGGACGAGGATTTTCTAGGATGGTAAGTTTCAATTGTGATTAAAATTATTCTTTATTTTGAGAAAAAATATTTTTTAGACACCATCAGTTTGTGAGGTATCTCAACGTCCTCATGACAAAACTCTAACATGAGACTGTGCTCTAACCTGTCACATGACAAGCTAAATGAAAGTCAAACATTTCAAATGGACTGTATGACAGCTGCTAACGTTGGCCTGCCCTACTTTACCTCTACATTACAGTTCCTTTATCCATGTCCATCCTAGAGCTCCTCTCTGACCTTCATGCTTATTTAGAGTAGCTGATTTTTAAAGTTAGCAGAGTTCATCCTTGGTAGTGGGTTCACTCACTCATTTAACCCTTCACCACTGAAATCAGTTTGTTCATTCCCATCCTCCTAAATAATCCTCCAATCATCCAACTGGAATCCTTAAGGGTCCCGTAACGTCCATCCTGTCAGAATAGGCCTTGGGAGCCCAGGTGTTACTAGAACTAATGGTGTCTCCTCACCAGCGTGAGCCTCCAAACTGTGAAGGTTGGTCTCCAAACATGAACTTTAAATTTATGCATTTATCTCCTCTTGTAGCACTTTAACATGTTTTAAAAGGCTTGTATCATGATAAGTTACACCTCCCAGACCAAAGATAAGATAAAACATTATCGTAGACACTATTAAGACGTCATTATGTATGAAATATAAGTTATTTTCCTGAGTCGTTGCTGCAGCCAAGAAATAAGATGCATGGATTTGATGAAACCACGCTGTATCATACAGTCCTATATGTGTAACACACACACACACGCACGCATGCACATGCACACGCAAGCGCGCGCACACACACATACACACTGCAGCATGCTAGAATCATGTGAATGACTAATTAAACTACACTGAACTGCTTTTGTAATAATTTAATCTCTTATTCTGGAGTAAAATAAAGAAACAAGCTAAATCATCACATATCTGTGGCATCAAGGAGCATCTTCTGAGTTCAAACACAGGGATGGAGCACAATGTTTACACCTGAACAGTATCAGGATGTTTTAACTCACAGAGGCCTGCAGGTCTTCTGTTTTATGAGCAGAGCGCTGATAATCCGCTTGTTAGGAGCGCTAAACGTTATTTTGCCGCTGCCGTGCTGAGCGGTAGGGAAACACATTTCAAACACGGAACCGAGTCCGGCTACCGAACCGAGCAGAACTCTGAGGACGTCACACCGGTGCGCGAAGTTGCGGGATCCAACCCACAGGAGAGGGAGGAGAGAGAAGGTAAACAGCGAGTTGAGGAACTGAACTGATGTCTTTGAGCAAAGGTGTACACCCCCACGGTTTAGACGCGGCGCTCATGCAGGTGTCTCTTCCTGTTCCGACGCTGCTACACGTAATATTTTTAATTTATCAAGCCTATAATTTATTTTTACTCAGTAACGGATCTCATTTAAAATGTAGCGAATTACAATTCTTTTTTAAAAACTTACTCAAGTAAAAGTAAAAGTACAGGTTTTAAAAACGACTTAAAAAGTATAAATATACAAAAAAGCTACTCAATTACAGTAACGTGAGTAAATGTAATTCGTTACTTTCCACCTCTGGTTGCAGCACGGTGTGAAAGGTGTTGGTGGAAATCTGGAGAAGAGGCAGCTTACAAAAATCAGGCAGGCTTGGAAAAACACACAGGAACTAGCAATCTGGCTAGAAGTACGACTTGGACGATATCTATTCGGATTACTCAGTAATCAGGCTCGGGAGCGGTAGATACCAAAGTTGAGTTAATCATTCAGCGAATAAAGACGTCTCCCAGCAGCTTATATGTCCCCGACCAACTGATGAGCAGATGGGCTGCAGCTGGTCCACTACTTGACACGCCCACCTGCAGGAGAAGCTCAGAGAAGGTTTAGCAGAGAGAGGAGGACTCACCCCAAGAAATACATCAGCTATAAACATGAAACATAAATAATAAACAATCACATAAATTAAAAATGGAAACTTTTTCAGTAAAAGCAGAACTCGGTTTTAACCTGTTAAACCCCCAAAACAACCAGATTAGTAAAGTGTGTCTTGTGCACACATGCAGATGCAGACACACATCTCTTGTATTGTAAACAAGTCATTGTAGCTTTTTCATAACTGTTTTATGACACAAGTGGATTTAATGTGTCTTGTTTTGTCCTCACAGGCATCTTCATCGTGGAGCGTCCCGTGACTGCAGGGGTCCCTGAGGTCATCCGGATTCTCGATGAAGATGAAGGTGGGTACCCAGCCCTTCACATTCCTGATGATGATGTGGTGTTTGTGCGTCATGGTCAGGCTCCTCCAGTAGAGGCAGAGTTTGCTTTTGAGGGTCTGAGTAGTGATGAGGAGTCGGAGAAGACTGACATTAGCTCAGATTGGTCAGATTTAGATGGTTTTCTGGCTTCTCGTGTGGACTCTGGTTATGGTAGCTCAGTTCTGGATAGCGATGAAGACCAGCAGCTTCCACCACCAGAAGACTTCTGGCTGGCGGTAGCTCCTCCGGCCCCGCCGGAAGAGCTTCCAGAAGATCCCAGGCCTGCCCACGGGAGCGCTGAAGAGGACCAGGAGGTAGAAGAACCCACTCCTACCTCGGTCCTTGGATCCAGCCAGAAGAGGACTGGAGAGCGCTTCCCGTACATCCCACCGAAGAGACCAAGATGGGACGACTCGGACTAGAGATATCTTTTTCCTCCAGTGAAGCGCCACTGAAGATCATTTCTTTCTTTCTTGAACTGGTCGACTGGAAACGTTTGTCTCAGGTAGCTTGTTGCACCAGGACTGTTTTTTACCAGGTCACCAGATGTTTGTTTTAGTCACCAAGTGTTTTATCAAGTCAGCTGAACTGGTGTTAATTATTTAAGAAGTGTGTTTTTAGAGCAGGTACTGGAGATGCTGATGTGGACGGTTTCACCTGGGCTTCTGTGTCTGGTTGCTAAATCTTCT